GGAGGGATTCAAACTCAAACTCATGACCTCTTGATCTGCCATATATGCCTAAATTAAGGTTGACTTAATTTTATTTTTATTTAAAATAAAATTTAGTAGATATAATATAAAAAGAAACAACATATACTCGAATAATATAATTAGGAATGTTCACGGGTGGGGCGGGATGGGGAAGCCTGCCCCGTCCCCTATTCCCACCCCTCATTTAATTCCCAGGGAAGGGAATTGGCGGGGATCCGGTTCCCTACGTAGATAATTTTCCCATTTTTTTAATTTTAAATTTATTTCTCAATTAAATATTATTTTTAAATATGGAGGTAACTGAAAAACGAGAAATGGGATGGATTACCAAATATGTCTGTTTCTCAAAAAATGAAAAACGAGAACAAGAAACAAAAAACGAAAACGTTACCAGATGGGTTCGTAATAACTAAGATAACGTGGCATTATGTGGAAGTTGGCTCAGTGCCCCCTTAAACTTTCTATATTAATCATATGATCTGCTATTACAGTTCCCTCTCAGCTCTTAATTTGATGCTACCACGCTGGTTTTTCTTTATTATGCAACTACAAGTGTTAAAAGATAATATTATTGGATAATGATATTTGAATATAATTAGATTTTGAATTAGATTTTGAATTAGATTTAGTTTAGATTATATTATTTGAGTTTGGTTTTCTATTCCTACTATGATGAGGAGTTACAATAGTATAAATAGGGTATTAGTTTCTATTTATTATCCTTTTTATTTTCTCTTGTCGCTAAAATTAACATGATATCAGAGCCTTCTAAGCCTTCTAAAGTTAATATAAATAATTAAGAAAATTGAATAATATAAAAATACAATGATTAAATTATGAAACAGCTCAAAATGGTACATGAACTTCAATGGTAATCCAAGCTTATTATTTTAAAGTTGATGTTATTTTCTAGGTTAGGTGGTATTCAAACAGCTCAAAAGCTACTTTTAGTCCTCATTCTTCTGGGCCACAATTGGGATGGCCAGAGATTTAAAAATTTTTAATTTGTTTTAATTTGGACCCGTCATAAACTGTTCACATGGCTCATCAATGGATAATTGGGACCAAGTTGGTGGGCCTTGATTTGCTAATTCACAGGCCCATGAGAGAATTTTATTATTACAGGACATGTACAATCTAAGGAATG